ATGGACCAGTTGGTGGGTAAGAAATTGGCTTGATGGCTGCACTCAGAGAGTTGTGGTCAATGGCTCAGTGTCCAAGCAGAAATCAGTGACAAGTGGCATTCCTCAGGAGTTAGTATTGGGATCAGCACTATTTAACATCTTTGTTGGTGACATGGACAGTGGGATTGAACGCACTCTTCAGCAAGTTTGTCAATGACACCAAGCTGTGTTGTGCATTTCACAGGTTGGAGGGAAAGGATGCCATCTAGAGCGACCTGGACAGGCTTGAGAGGTGGGCCTGTGCAAACCTCATGAAGTTCAACAAGGCCATGTGCAAGGTCCTGTACCTGGGCCAGGGCAATCCCAAGTACAAATACCAGCTGGGTGGAGAATGAATTGAGAGCAACCCTGATGAGAAGGACCTGGGGGTGCTGGTGGAGGAAAAACTGAATATAAGCTGGCAATGTGCACTTGCAGCCCAGAAAACCAAGCATATCTGGGGCTGCATCAAACGAAGTGTGGCAAGATGGTTGTGGGAGGTTCCCCCTCTGCTCTGCTCTCATGAGACCCTACGTGGAATGCTGTGATTAGCTCTGGGGCCCCCAGCACAAGAAGAACAGGAACATATTAGAAAGAGGCAAGAGGAGAGCCACAAATATGATCAAGGGGCTTGAGCACCTCTCCTCTGAAGACAGGCGAAAGGAGTTACGGTTGTTCAGCCCAGAGAAGTGAAGGCTCCAGGGAGACCTTATAGCAGCCTTCCAGTACCTAAAGGGGGCCTAATCCTTTCCAACCCAAACCATTATAAGATTCTATATGCAAGAGCAGAGTATATTGCTGAGGGATGAATGCAAATGCCAGCTATTGATTATTGACCACTGAACATATTTGTGCCTGTGGGAAACAACAGGGAACTGAAAAACAAGTGAGAGAAGTGTTGATAATTCTTTAGACAAAGCACAGGAACAATAGGTCTACTCTGTGTACATCTACATCGGAGTACAATGCAGATGCCACAGCTAACAGATACCAAAGCCAGGCATCCTCATCATGGCATGCTGCTATTATGCATACCTGAAAGAGGAACTAAGTCAAGTATCTCAGCAAGTCTATGGTGAATATTTAGATTTTAAAGACAGTTCTGAATAAGGAAAGATTTGGAAGCAACCGAATTTGCCTGTTGTTGGAGCCTAACTGTGCTCACAGAAAGACAGGCCTCATTTTATCTAAGTGAGCAGGGTGGCAAGAAATAAACGTCTGTCTTTGTCATGAACTTCTCCTCCTAATGGGAAGATTCCATAATATCCAAAACAAGGGCTTGTCCACTTAAATCACATATCTCTCTGCCAGGAGGCAGGAAGAACACCTAGTAAATTCACGTAACCAAAATGTGTCTCTACATCTGCAATATTCACTTAGAACCCAGTGTGCCAATTGAGATTGCCACTTTTTGTGACATGTTATGTCTGGCTATATATTTGTACTGCATTTAGCCAGTGGAGCTGTGATTTTGTCTTGAGACTGTCTATACTGTCATAGTACAAAACAAAACAAAAAATTCTATTTCCTCTTAATTTTAACATGGGAACATGATGTTAAGTAAAATGCAGGTGAAAAATTAGAAAAGACTACATAGTTTTTGGAGGACTTTGGAGTACCCAGTGCTAGAATACAAAAGATTTCACTTTCTCAAAGTATAAATGTGGGATAACATCTTTATCAAATATCTGGGAACAGTTGAATTGTACTACAATTTCTAGAACAATGTTCTTCTATGATCTTTTTTAACTACAGTCTGATTCTTCCCACCCCTTTTTCAGACTCCATAGCCAAACTGTCATAAAGAGTTGCTAAGACTGATTCACATTTTAAGAGTACTGTGGATATGTAAAACATGAATTAGTCTTGCTAGTCTTGCTAAGGGAATTAGAATCAGAATGTAAAGAAAATAAAAAAATAAGGAAAAAATTACCTTGTCAAGCAGCTGTGATCAAATTCAGTATCAAATTCAGCTTTTGGGCTTACTTCTTCACTGAAATTGTATAATGTACAAAACAGCAGACTGAGACCCCACAATGCACATCTTTCACTTCTGAGTTCAATTAGACATGTCCTAGGTTCACAAGCTTGGCAGGCTCAAACAAGTTGTGTTTTTAAAGCAATCTTTTTTTTTTTTTTTTTTCTTTTTTCCTTCAGAAGTAACTTTCCCAAATGTACTCATGAATCAAAGACTGCAAATGTAAAGCATCACATCTCAGTTCTGGCATCTCAGTACCCTTCTCAGACCCAAAGGTCATTATCACATTCAAAGGTCTGAAATGCACATAACACAGATTCTAACTCTGGCAATGTGACAGAATAAGCCAGGAACTAGCAGATAAAGACATGTGTCATCACAGATCCCTGGAAGAACAGCAGGGGGTATTGAAGGTAAACACACTAACAACATGTCCCAGTATAGCTGAATTTCAGCTGAAAAATGAGAAAATGAGTACAAAGATCTTTTGAAGTCTCACCTGAGTCATATGGCACCATTAAATGCAGAGAAAATCTTTCTTTCCAAGACAGTTGAAATCAGCTTTATTACATGAGTTTTTAATTCTTCATTGTTCACTGCAGAATACACCTCCCTGAAAAACTCAGAGCTGTTGACCCCGGAAGCTAAAAAGATTGCTAGTTATTGATAACTGTGAAAAACTCTTTAATTTGGGCATTTATGAAGGACACAATAAAACAAAGAAAGACAGCTGAATGACTTCTTACTTCCTGCAGTGAATTTTAAATGCCCAGAGAAATAAAAGGTTGTCATCTCTTCAGGCCGTTTATGGTCAGACTTGTAGATTGGCTAAAGTAGTGTACTGTGAGAGTGTGGGGCTGAGAGAGAGTCAAACTCCTGCTTTTTGCTTCCCTGCTGCACAGAAGCTCAAACAGGTCACAAAGGTGAATCGCACAGAGTTTTTGATAGAGTGTTTAAAACAGGGAAGTATTTTCCATTGTTCACCTCACTTCTGTAGGCATACAGAAAGCGTATTTGTGTTGCCAGTGAGAAAAGACTTGTCTTTTTACCACAAGAACATTCATCTCCCATTTTTTCCATGACCAAAATACTGACGTTAACTCACCACAGAACAAATGTGATGGATGCAAGAGTAATCAAGCAATGACTGAATCTGATGAGTGCATTTCACGTCTGAGACTACTTTCCCATTCTCCATCCCGGGCTGAAGTAACTGTGATTTTAATTAATCTGCCATAGAATGTCATAGCATAAATGAGTTCAAAAGATTTCGATACAATCCACAGCACATCACAAATATCACCTTCAGCTACAGCCATTTCTGTAGTCTTAAATCTGAGAGATATGCAGATAAGATGACAGGTGTAGCATGTAAGAATAAAATATAGTAGAAATCAATTACAGTCAAGTAATTTTTCTTCCTTAAGCAAAATTTTATTATTAAAGAGAAATTAGTACAACAAAAGTGGCTCTAATTTCCTTAATGATTGAAAGATCTACATATTTTCTCTAAAAACTAAATTTCACTCTTTAAAAGTAAATTATAAATAAATTGTCTTAGTTTTTCACGATTGCTATAGTGCATCATATTGGAAACTGTGCCACCTGCACTGAGAAATACATCCAGTAACTCATCAAACAATCAAATGTAATTAATATGATAGTCACAATTAATATGATATTTTCTTACCTAATGCTATATATGGAGTGGCAATTTATGTTGAGAAAATTGTTGATATTAATAAAGAAAGGGGAGATTTGTGAATGTGGCCATGGGGGTTGGAAAGCCCCGTGGTTGAGATAACATTAGACTCTTAACGATGAGGCCATCGGGAATAGAAAAGAGTTTAGAGGGAACAAAGAAGGGTGATTCAGGAGACTCCATGCAGTCTCCCAGTTTCTTGTTCTCCACCTGGTCTCTTGTTCTCCAGTTTGCTGTTGTTGTTACATTCAAAGTTCTTTGACCAATGAAAAGTTGTTTTGAAAAGAACTGCTGTGGAAAGAAGGGTATAAGAGGGGAGCCTACCCTCAAGATAAAGAAAAGGCAACACGATGAAGTTACGTCATCAATAAAGAAGCAGGAAAAAGAAGTGAAGAACAGGCTAGCAGAATGGAGACCAGGACAGGAACAGGCACTTTGATTGCCTCATGAAGACAGGTTCAGCCAAACTCAGCAAACTGCTCAGAGAAGCTCGTACAGAAAGTCGCTGGAAATAGGCGCACTGGAACTGGAGAGAAAATCGAGCTGAGAGAAGCGGACCCGTGCACACAACTGCCTCTCGCTGGTAAGCAGCTGCACATTATGGGGAATCATACGTCCTTAGGAACAAAGACTGTCCTGGTAACCTTACAGCTTATTCTCCTTATTAACAATCAGACAGTTTATGAGCCTGAAATCTGGGACCAAACTGAGGTCAAGGTGTGGGACTCTGCAACTAAAAACGACAAGGTTGCGGTGGGATTGCTCGGCACCTGGCGAGCAATCTCTGAGGCCTTAAAGAGCCGTGTGGAGCCACAATCACAAACGTGTGGCTTGCCAGATAGTGAGGGAGCTGCGGGCTCCTTTACTGATCCAACCGCTACGCCATGGGCCCCTCTGCTGCTACAGCCATCAAAGGCTTTTGCTGTTATGCCCCCTGTTGACCTGAACGTGCCTTTTGACCCAGGCCTATTGGCCTTGAAAAGGAGATGGATATGCTTTTCTTCGATCTGGGAAGAACGGGATACTTAAGGCCTGAAGACCAAGTTGCTTGACAACTTAAAGCGAGACATATTGTTCAAAGGGAATGGAAAATGGAGACTTGTATGTAATCAAGAAGAAGAGTGGAAAATGGAGACTGTTGAGTCGTGGAACTTGGAGGATTGTTTGTTACCTTTTCTGATTGTACGTATGTATAGGCATACTTGCGTTTCGTATGTAAAGCAATGTTCCGTGTATTTGATGTTTGTGTGTGAGTGTTGGTGGAGCGTAGACTCCTGCACACCCAGCGCTGTTTACTTGCCTTTTATATCTTTTAGAAATATTTGTTTTATAAATATTACAAAATTCAGATTGAGTTGAGACCTCATTTATAACAGTACCAAATAATAAGTCTGGAAAGAGATTTTTTTTTTGCTTGGCTTGCTGTTTACATATTTGGCTAAGTACATTCTATGTGTGAGTAAATTAGAGATCAAGACATGCCATAAAAATTCTAGCATGGTAGAATCTTTTTCTACAATCTCTTTCAGATGTAAAATACGTAGTCCACCATTATCCTGTCTTAAGAAAGGAGTCACCCATTTCAAGGCATCTAAAAAATGCCATTTTCAGAAATGTAATAGATTACATACTTAGTAATAAGAATCCTTTTCAGAGGTCCAATTAAGAAATTAAACACAGAAAATAAATGTATTTCCTACTTCTTTTTTCTTTTTTCCCCAGTCTAAAAATCTAAGTCCCATGGAGTTGTATTGTGCTAATGGCTATGCTATCAACAATAGTAAGCAAGGCCTGCCCCTGCTACCCCTTTCTGAGAACAGCTTTCACAGATTTCTGTACAAATGCTACATCCTCTCTGAGTGAATACTCAGATGTTGTATACCTTTTTTACCTGTTCGTATTGGCTTATGTCCAATACTAGTAGCCTGTATCTGCTACATGGGGTGGAATCTAAAGCCCAGGGAGAAGTACTTCCACTCCCTGTTCAATTTAGGGATGTTCCAATAGAAAAATGCTGAATCTGTGTGATGTGTTAGCAATCTTGTCCCTTCCCCAGACAGACTTCTAAGTCAGGGCTGTTATAAGGTACTTCCACCTAGGCTAAGAAGCACAGAACCTAGTCATCAGTTAGCCTTTGAAAAAGCTAAGTAGAGCTCACACCTAAAACAAGGTCTTTATAAAAAGGAAGAGATTATCTATAGGCCTTTTACAACACAGCCTTTTGATTCAAGTGTTTACACATAAATTGGATTCTAGCCCCATTTTGACTCAAGATTAAACCTTCAAACCCTAATGCCAGAACTCTCAGCTCCAGAATACAGCCTAGTGGCAGTACAGAAAAAATGAAAAAGGGAAATACTTCCCTTTTCAGATGTAGTGAAACTGAGCCTTTGTGAAACAAGAATTAAGGTGCCAAGAAGTCAAAAAGATGTGAGCAGAGTCCAGTGAACCATTACCTTTTCCCAGGGGTATTTATGATCTCTACTCAATGATTAAAATGTAAAGTGTAATGTGTAAAATATACTGGGAGAAAACAGTGCCAAGAGCATTGCATTGCCATCATCCAAGAGTTGGAAAAATATGAAGAGAGCAGTGAGAGCAGAGAGAAAGACAGAGATACTGTAAAATATCACCTTAGAAGCATAAAGAGAAAAAAATTATACCATTCCACAAGTGGTAAATCAGAGGCAAGATATTAGATGGCTCATTCAATTTTATGCAACAAGTATACAGCTGAGCTAAGACTAGGAGACTCATTCTAGATACACAAAATCATAGAATCATAGAATAATAGAATGGTTTGGCTGGAAGGGACCTTAAAGATCAGTCTAATTCCAACCCTCCTGCCATGGGCAGGGGGGACACCTTCCACGAGACAAGGTTTCTCAAAGAGCCATCCAAGCTGGCCTTCAGCACTTCCAGGGATGGGGCATCCACAACTCCTCTGAGCAACCTGGTACAGTGCCTCACCATCCTCACAGGAAAGAATTTCTTCCTAGTACCTACTCTAAATCTATTCTCTTTTAGTTTAAAGCCATTACTCCTTGTCCTAATACTATACTCCCGAACAAAGAGTCCCTCTCCTGCTTCCTTTAGGCCCCAGTCAGTTGCCAGAAGGCTGCTATAATGTCTCCATGGAGCCTTCTCTTCTCCAGGTTGAACCCCAACTCTCAGAACTTGTCTTCATATAAGAGGTGCTCCATCCTTGTGGCTCTCTTCTGGACTCTTTCTAATATGACCTTGTCCTTATTGTGCCAGGGGCCCCAGCGATGAATGCAGTACTCCACGTGGGGTCTCAGAACAGCAGAGAAGAGGGGGAGAATCACCTTCCTCAACCAGCTGGCCAGGCTTCTTTTGATGCAGTCCAGGATACAGTTGGCTTTCTGTGCTGCAAGCATATATTGTTGGCCCATGTTGAGCTTCACATCAACCAACACCCCAGGTCCTTCTCAGGGTTGCTCTCAATTCATTCTCCACCCAGCCTGCATTTATGTGGATCTTCTCCATGGTCTTGCCAGGCACAGAGGTGAGACTGGCCTGTAGTTTTCTGGGTCTTCCTTTTTTTCATTTTTAAAAATCAAGGTAATGTTTCCACTCATTCAGTCAGTGGGAACTTCAACAGACTGCCCTAATAATAAGAGAAAAGAGAGAAAGGAAGAGACAAACTAACTCCTAAAAAAAAAAAATAATAATAAATAGATAATAATTTAAAAAAAAAAAAAAAAAGAAGCAACTAGAACTAGAATGACTAAAAGACAAAGTGGTTCTCTAAAAAAAAAAAAAAAAACAACAAAAAAAAAACCAACAGAAATAACATCAGCAAAAAGTAGAAGAATTTTTCCTCTTGAAGACATAAGTAGTGTAAAAATGGTTATCAGACAACCTTATTTTGTCTTCTGCTTTTACCTTTCTGGTCCCATCTTATCTTATACAGTTCAGTCAGTGGAGAAAGAAATAATTACTGTAATTTTATTAATAGGTTAATTTTTGAGCTTCTGTGTGTGGTGGTTACACTCGGGTGGGCAGCCAAGCTCCACCACAACCGCTCTCTCAGTCCTTCTCCAGGAGAAGGACTGAGAGAGCTGAAGGGTTCCAATAAGGACAGGGAGATCACTCAACAGTTATCATGACAGGCAAAACAGACTCAGAGTAGGGAGACAGTAAAACTTATTGCCTATTACTAACAAGCTAGAGAAGTGAGATGCAACGGAAAGAAACAAGTAATACCCTCCTTCCCCTTCCCCCCCCGCAATGCCTTCTCCCCCCCTCCCTGTTCACCATCTTCTACCTCTTCCCACTAAGTGGTGCAGGGAAATGGGGAAGTGGGGGCTGTGGTCAGTGCCTAACACTTCGTCTCCACTGCTCCTTCATGGTCTCTCTCTGCCCCTGCTCCACGTGGGGTCCCTCTCATGGGATGCCATCCTTCCTGAACTGATCCTGCAGGGGTTGCCCACAGACAGCAGTTCTTCAAGAACTGCTTGCGCATGGCTCAGTACCATGGGGTCCATCTGTCAGAAGCAAAAGGCTCCAGCACGGGTCCCCCATGGGCGGTAGCTCCCCCCAGACCCCTGCTCCTGCGTGGGCTCCTCTTCATGGGCTGCAGCTCCGGCCCGGGGCCTGCTCCTGCGCAGCCTCCTCCAGGCCACATCCACCTGCTCCACCGGGGGCTCCTCCACCCATGGGGGGGCTGCAGCATGGAGATCTGCTCCATGTGGGACGCATGGGCTGCAGAGGGACAGCCTGCTCCACCAGGGGCCTCTCCACAGGCCTCAGGGGAACTTCTGCTGCGTACCTGTAGCACCTCCTGTCCTCATTCTGCACTGACCTTGGGGTCTGCAGGGCTGGTTCTCACTCCTCTCTCTCCACCAGTTTTTGTTTGTTTTCCCCTTTCTTAAATCTGCGCTCACAGAGACGCGGACACCATTACTTATTGGCTCAGCTCTGGCTAGCAGCGGGCCCCTTATCTAACATGGGGCAGTTTCTGGATTCTTCTCACAGAAGCCACCCCTATGGACCCCGCTACCAAAACCTTGTCACATAAACCCACTACACCATGATATACAAAAGATACAATCCTTCCTGTAAATTGGGTTCCTGCATATTTTGACTCTTTCATGAGAGAGGGTCTCTATCTCTATCTCTCCTACAAGTTTTTCTTCTTTTCACAAAATAATTAGCATTGCATTAAACCAACAGGCAGAGTGACCCTGCTCTTCTGTTAGCTTTTTGATAGAGGACTTAGGACAAGATCTAGTTCTAGATCTTAAGTAATTTATTCTCTTCTTCCATGGACATTTTCTTTGTTTATATAATTATGTTATTTTATTCTAAATGTTACCTTGAGCCATAATAAAATACATTTTATTTGCTGGTGCAATCTGCCTTGACAGATTGAATAGTGCAGTGGCAGTAATCCTTTTTCTTCACTACTACTTGTCTGTCTTCCTTCAATTACTGTGTCATTTCCAAAGTTCACCAGTGATCATTTCCTGTTTGTTTGTTTTTGTTGTTTGTTGTTTTGTTTTCCTCCTCAGGTCATTCCTACAAATGGAGAAGAGAGTCAGTCTTCTAACAGTGGTAGAAATGCAGCTGTTCATACTTACATATACAAGGGGTGACTGTCTACTTCTGATAAACTCACGTGAATTGATATTAATTATAGTTCCTAATAGGAATTCTATGACAGTAGAGACTCAGATGAGGCACTACTATTAAAAACTCCTTATCAAGTGGTTGTAAGAGATGTAACTTTGGATCAAGTGGTTGTGAGTGACTCAGCAGAAGTGAAGGGGAACCAAATAAAAGCACCTCTATAATTAAGGTTTAAATTCAAAAGAGAAAATTTGCAAGAGTGGAACTGAATGTGGCAGAGGCTTAGAGTCTGACTTAGTCAAAAGTACAGGAATTTTCTTCAATTTTCATTACAAGCAAAGTAAAGGAAACTTGTAGAAAAGAGCCTCAGATCTAAGGGGATGAATAGTGTCTTTAAAAGTGAGAAAAGCAGTAAGGCTACAAGAAAAAGAAAAGGGTTTAATCAGTAGCAAGAGTTATGTGTTACAGGTCAATATGTTTAGAGAAAAAGAGAGAACTGCAAAAGCCAAGATAAATTACATCTTGCAAAGGATATTAAAACAAATACTGAAAAGTTCCTTATCCACATAATTAAAAATAGATCAAGGAAAGAGATTAAATATAATCTAGATATGACCCCAAAACTGAATTAATATTTTGCCTCATTTTTCAGTAAAGTTGAGGACATTAAGCATGCCAGAAGAGGCAAGCTAGTTTGTAGAAATCAGGGTCTTTAAATGTAAATTACGATAAATAAGATGTGGAAAAAAAAATCCCTCTAGATATTCAATGCACTCAGAATAGAGGACAGGATAATCACTATCTGAAAGATGAATTGATATCTCATCTAATTTTAACTCTTTCAGAGGGGGGGTGTAACTGTTGTTTTCAAGCCAGATAGCACCACCAGAGTTGAGGAAAAAGAAAAAAAAAAAAAAAGTTATTTGGATAATTATTGTTATGTACTAATTTAGAACTAATTTGAAGAAAAACATGAGTTAAGATACAAAAGTAAACATAAGATAAGATTTAAAAAAGGCAAAAAAAAAAAGGCAAGCTCATTAAAATTATGATAGCAATTTAAATGACTTGCAGATAAAGAAAATGAAGGAGAAGTGACAGATATGGACTGCAATAACAAATTTGATTTAGTAAATTATACTAATAGAAATTAAAGTGAATAGTATAGAGTACAATGTAATATAATTTGGAATGAACAACAATGTTCTTGCTATCAAACGCGAGTTCCTCAGTTTGAAAGAATTAAAGGGTAAGAACTTAATTCAGTTGATCACAGGATGACTATAGGCTATGAAGGTGATGTAGCAGCAAAACAGGCAAACTTAGGATGCATTAGACCACATATTTCCAGGAAATAAGAGAAATCACAAACACCATTGTACAGTACACTAATAAAGACTTGTGTGTACTATCGTGCACAATTTTTGCCATTCATGATAAAAAGCACTCATTCACACTAAAATGGGTACAAATACAAGTTTATAGGATCGTTGGGATTATGGACTATCTCCTGAGATAAACATCCATTTTTTTCTCATAACAAAATGAAAGCCACAGGAGGCTGTGACTATTTCCTTCAAGTACATCAAGGGTAAACACCAGAGAGAGATAAGAAATACTTAAACAAAAGGATGATCTTGACACAAGTACAAATGCATATTATCTGGCTATGCATACATTTAGTTTGGAAATTAAGAAAAGGTTTCTAACACAGAGGACTCAGTTTGAGGAACTGCTTTCCAATAGAAATGAGGGGGCAAAAACCTAACTTTTTTAAGCAGATGTTTTTATGAAAGGTGTCATTAGGACAAAGCTGCCTCTGTCAGCTGAAGGTCTTAACCCTTATATTCTTATACCCCTTGCTGCTAACATCTATTAGTTTAATCTGATGCTTAAGGGAATTATATATCTCTTACTAAATGAAAAATCTCTGTTTTATTAGAAATAAGAATGCAATTCCATTTTATTCAGACAGACATTCACTCTGCAGAAATGGCACTACTGGAACACAAATAACCTAGTAATGACACATTATTTAAAAAAAAATAAAAATAAAAATAAAATAAAAAATTAAAAAAAAAAGGATGTGTAAAAGATGTTCTCAAGGATCAAAAGGCAAAGACTGCTTGCCAGATCCGTTGGCCTTATATTTTCTTCTTAGGAAGACGGAAAAATATGCCATATATATCTCATACACTTATACTTTCATATTCCACAGCTGATTTGGTATGTCAAGAGAACTAAAGAAAAATGCATTTTTAGAGCATAAGAGTTCAAAATAGCATTTAACAGCATTTGTCTGAGTAAAAGGGTAACACAGTCAACTGAAGTCCAAATAAAAGCCATGGAACAGAGGGAGCTGCAGTTTAATTATTTGCTCTGAAATACTTCACAAGTGAACATTTTTCATTGACAACCCTTCCTAGGTGCAACTCAACAAGGAACATTCTGTTAAAATTGACACCTAATGGCCCTTTCATTTTCTGGAATATAAAACTGAAGAAAGTGAATATATATATATATTTAAAAAAAAATAATAATAATCTTAGGTTCTTGCATCCAGTTTCTAGACACCAAGGGCACACTTGTGTAATGTAGTTTACCAACTAGAAATTGAAATATCTCATTTTAATAAAGTTTTGAAAACAAAAAACTATTTAGTGGTTTTGTACAAAGTATTACAAAAATAAATAAATAAAAATTTAGAAGACCAATAAAAGAACCACGGAGATGTTGCCTAATGCTTCCTTAAAAAATAAAATTAAAAAATAATCAGGCCTACTCACTCATGTTTAGCCTCTATACCTTCCATTTCTTCTATAAATGCAATGTAGTATTTTTGCATTTTCAGATTGATTTCCAACCAGCATGACACAACCCCAACCTTGAAGCATCTGATTCAAAAAACATTGAAATTCTCAAATATTTTAGGAGCAGACATAGATGTGATAAGGGAAAGTCAGTTTGGCACAAGATTTCAGTTTTTCAATGAAAAATGGGTGGTTTGATTGCTATAGTTCAGAATGTTCCTTTATTCAAACCAATTTATTTATATATGTGGATAAAAGAAGTATTTTATGTCTCTTAAGAAAAGTTCCTACAGTTTTTATCTGCTCTGCTGGATTAATCATAGGATAGTATTTTTTGTTGTTGGTTGGTTGGTTGTTTTTGTAGCAAGGTTTTACTGAAAATTAAATTGATCTACAGAGTCTCTCACAGTAGCAATTTGCCAAGCAAGGATATCATCAGGACCCATATAAATGAATAAAAGAGTAATATCAACATTGTTTAGAGACAACATACAGTCTCTAACTCTAAATTAAACAATGAGATTATATGCCTTAATGACATGATTGAAGAACATACCTTCAAATTCTTACTTTGAAAATGGTATGACTAAATTAAATAATTCTACTGTGACATCACCACCCGTGTCCTTTTTTATAAACCTGAGTGCTAAATAGCTAGTTCACTGATTCAAATATCTGAATAATTCACTATCCTGACATGACGAACCATTCACAGTGATTTCATGCCTCCTGTTACAAACTCTGAAAAAGGTGCTTAAAAATGACAAGGTTTTTTATTGTTTTATTTGACAGAAGTGATCTCCTTAAGAGGAATATTTTTTCTGAGACTTTATATTCTGTGCTAGTTCTCTGATACCAAAGCTAGGATGTTCTAAAGAGTAACTCAGTGTGAATTGCAGCAGTTTTGAAGAAAAGGACAAAATGTCTTAAAAGTTAAAAGACGTTGGGTGTCATTCCCACCAGAAGCTGTCTGCAGATCAATAAAATTACAAATTACATAAAACTAAACAGTTCACAAATAAACTCCTTTGAATGAGAAGCACTGATTTTTCTTTCTCGTATTCAGTCCAATATGCAAAATGTCCTATCTATCACAAATTGAATAAGATATGTTTGTAATGTAAAGCACAATAATCATAGCAGCAGAAGAGTTAGTTTTAATTTTGTCTTTGACAAAATGGTGGTGTCAGGACTTAGCCCATGATGACAGTGCTTGGAAGGGAGAGGAGCTGTAGTAAGTGCAAACAGGTGACTTAATACCATCCTGCAACATACTTGCTATAAAGGATCTTGCCTCAGGCAAGAAAACTCTAATTTTACAAAGTGCCACGAACACAGGTTAGAGACTACTCATGTTCTTCTCAGATATAAAATACTGGTGACTTTTAATTGGAGTAAAGATCTGATTATCCTCAGAGACACCTCAATGTATTTCTCCAGATCAGACTTTAATCCCTCTGCTGATCCATCATTTCTTGGTTCTATTTTGCTTGACAAGGCCTTGACCGAAGCCATACTCCTAAATTCTCTAATCAAGAGCATGTAATTTATTGCTCATGAACAACTCTGAGACCTCTGCCCCCACAACTTCATGGGTCTTGGCATCATATTAGAGCTTGATAGCAGCCAAAAAACTCTCAGATAACTTTTCAGATCAACATATAAGCAGACACACTACTTAAACTGTGCACACAATATTATCATCTTAAATAAAATCCATCTGATCTTGACTGCGTGTTAGATGAAGTGTGGATACAACACAAATGTGGAAACAATGCTCATAAACTCACTGATTGCCTTCAAGGTAAGATTTATGTCTATGTTCTAGGTTGAATGTACTCACCCAGGAAGGCAAAGGAGTAATCCCATACTGTAGCTTTCTCCCTCCTCTGCCAGAGCTGGATTCTAACTTCTCCACTAGAGAGCCCTTTTGGACAAGAACACTACTAGAGGCAGCAGAATAACTCTTTAACATAAATGTAACATTTAAGATCACCTTCTGTCTCTGTGCCAGCAATGCTAACTGTGGACTTTCCGTTTTTCCTACTGTTCCACAAAGCTTACTGAAATTCCTCTTTTACAGAAGTATTCATAAAGAGAAGTTGTAAAATGTGTTTGAATGACCCATTAGGAGGAAAA